CCGTCTGGATGATGCTCTTAATCATATGGTTTAGTTTCAGGTAGTCCTGTGAGGAGCAGGGAGTTGGGCTCTATGATCCTTATGGGTGCCTTCCAACTCAAGAGATTCTATGATTCTATTTGGTCTTTTTTGGTCCTTCATGTTAGTTTTGATTCCTCACACTCTTTGCACTACTAAACTTTCTGTCGTTTTAAAGCCCTAAGAGCATTCAGCCTTCTCAGCTGTAGATCATAGTGGTATTTTCTGTTTTAATGGGAGGATAAAGGCACACCCCAAATTCCCTTCATGTCTGCACAACTGGACCTGCTTTGCACATACAATAAAATCTAATTATCTTCAATAACTCCCCTTTTTTTGAGCTTGTACCACATAGGTCTTTTGTTAGGGCACCCAGGAACCACATTTTCTGTGTCCTTCCTGAGTCTGGGATTTAGGCTAGATATTCCAGTTGCAGCAATCCAGTACCAGATGTCCTCGTTGCTGGCGAGCCTGTGGCTTTCTCCTCTGTGCCTGGAGGAGGAGGGAGAATAGCTGAAAGGGAGCAACAGGCTAGACAAAGCTTGCAATGTAAAATATTGTCTGGATCAAATGGGGCTTAAAATATGGTTGGTCACAATTACATGTTGTCCTGGTTTCAGCTGGGATAGAGTTATTTTTCCTCCTAGTAGCTGGAATAGTGTTATGTTTTGGATTCAGTATGAGAAGAATGTTGATAACACACTGATGTTTTCAGTTGTTGCTAAGTAGTGTTTAAACTAAGTCAAGGATAGTTCAGCTTCTCGTTGCCCAGCCAGCAAGAAGGCTGGAGGGGCACAAGAAGTTGGGAGGGGACACAGCCAGGACAGCTGACCCCAACTGGCCAGAGGGATATTCCATACCATGTGACATCATGCCCAGTATTTAAACTGGGGGAGTTGGCCTGGGGGGTGTGGAGCGCTGCTTGGGAACTAACTGGGCATTGGTTAGCAACTAGTAAGCAACTGGATTGTGCATTGCTTGTTTTGTATACTCCAATCCTTTTGTTGTTGTTGTTGTTATTATTATCTTCCTTTCTGTCCTATTAAACTGTCTTTATCTCAAGCCACGAGTTCTACTTTTTCTGATTCTCTCTCCCATCCCACTGGGTGGGAGGAAGTGAGCGAGCTGCTGTGTGTTGCTTAGTTGCTGGCTGGGATTAAACCATGATGTGTACAAGGCCAACCTCTCACCATGTTTGTTTAATTAAGGTCACATAGAGATCTTAATTAAAATAGTGAGCTCATAACATCAGTGTCCTGGTTTCAGCTGGGATAGAGTTAATTGTCTTCCTAGTAGCTGGTACAGTGCTATGTTTTTGAGCTAGGTATGAGAAGAATGTTGATAACACACTGATGTTTTCAGTTGTTGCTAAGTAATATTTACTCTCAAGTCAAGGATTTTTCAGCCTCCGATGCCCAGCCAGCAAGAAGGCTGAAGGGGCATAAGAAGTCAGGAGGGGACACAGCCAGGGCAGCTGACCCAAAGTGGCCAACAGGGTATTCCATATCATGTGATGTCATGTCTAGTATATAAACTGGGGGGAGTGGGGGCGGGGGGATTGCTGCTCGGGGATTAACTGGGCATCGATCGGCGGGGGGTGAGCAATTGCACTGTGCATCATTTGTATATTCCAATCCTTTTATTATTACTGCTGTTACTTTATTAGTCTTATCATTATCATTATTAGTTTCTTCTTTTTATATTCTATTAAACTGTTCTTATCTCAACCCATGAGTTTCATTTCTTTTCCAGATTTTCTCCCTCATCCCACTGTGGGGGCGGGGGGGAGCGAGTATAGTGGCTGCGTGGTGCTTAGTTGCTGGCTACGTTTAAACCACGACAATCAGTCTGGTCATCTGTAACTGACAACTGTGTTTAGTTACAAAGGGCAGAAAATGGTCCTTATATTTATGTGCTAGTTTTGCTAAATAATGGGTAACTTGTTTAGATCACTTCCAGTAATTTGGCACAGAGTGATATTTAAAAAAATTGCTTCTTGTCCAGTTGGTGCCAGTAGGAGAGAGCCCATTATTTTCAGTGAGGTGGGATTGAGCCTTGAATAACTACTATAATGGCTGCTTATCTTAGTTTCTTGAACTTAGAAAATGTGAGCAACAGTTTAGACTCCTAATTTTCGAATATTCTGTGGCACCCATATTTCAGATGGTACTTAGAAAGGAGAAAATTGATGGGTTGGGGGGAAGAGAAAACCACCATCACTTTTTTTTTGGGGGTGGGGGGGGGGGGAGGATAGATTTAGATTTGGCCTAAAATAAAGAAGATAGTAATGCTGGGTGTTGTCTTAATTTAAATCAGTTTGGCAATAGTAGTTTCTAAACTTGTTAGATGAGACTTTCATGCCTGTTTAGCAGGACAAACTGCTCTATTAATTAAGCTCAGTCCCATAAAGCTCTTCTACCTTGCAATCAAATCCCAAAGTAACCTGGATCATGTTGTTATTGAAGTCTACAGCCCAGGAGAATGGAGTTTAATATTTCATTTATCTTGTGTTCAGCTATGATGTGACATACAAGATGTCATTTTTGCATCGGGAATAAAAATCACTAAGTCTATCATTTAATTGTCTTGCACCAAGAAACAGGTAATAAACTGTTTGTGATTTATAATTGTCGTGGTTTAACCCCAGCCAGCAACTAAGCACCACGCAGCCGCTCACTCACTCCCCCCCATCCAGTGGGATGGGGGAGAAAAATCAGGAAAAGAAGTAAAACTCCTGGGTTGAGATAAGAACGATTTAATAGAACAGAAAAGAAGAAACTAATAATGATAATGATAACACTAATAAAATGACAACAGTAGTAATAAAAGGATTGAAATGTACAAATGATGCGCAGGGCAATTGCTCCCCCCCCGCCGCCCAACCCCCAGCCAGTCCCTGAGCGGCGATTCCCTGCCCCCCCCACTTCCCAGTTCCTAAACAAGACGGGGCGTCCAATGGTATGGAATACACTGTTGGCCAGTTTGGGTCAGGTGCCCTGGCTGGGCACGAGAAGCTGAAAAATCCTTGACTATAGTCTAAACACTACTGAGCAACAACTGAAAACATCAGTGTTATCAACATTCTTCACATACTGAACTCAAAACATAGCACTGTACCAGCTACTAGGAAGACAGTTAACTCTATCCCAGCTGAAACCAGGACAATAATAGTTTGATTTTTAATGAAAATGTATCTACATGCATTTCTTGGGGCAATAACCTTGCTAAATCAACATATAATCAGCCTGACATTTCATATCAGAAAAAGATTCTGGCAGGAGGGGAACAGTCCAAAATAAAAGCAGAAACAAACATTCCACAGAAAACTTAGCTTGTGACACTAGTTTTTGTTCATGTTGGATACCTGCTATAATTACAATTCAGATTGGTTTTTTTCCAGAGGTACAATGCACAACTATTGCAGTCAATCTCAAGGAGATAGCATGGTTCATTGTAATTAGTTAGCCAGAGGAAATGAAATTAAGTAACTTTTCAGTTGATCATTTTGTATAATAATGTTTTCTGTGCATTTGTTTCTCTTCACTGAGCCCATGTTAACCTGCAAGACTTCTCCAGAGGGGAAAGTCCTATCTTCCTCCCATTATGTGGTGCTCAAACTCCTTTCTTACACACTTCTGTGGGTCCTGGATTCTTCCAGTTCTCTGGGTTCTTGGAGGAATCACCTTTAAGAAGGGTTTGGAATAACTCCCACAGAACTCTAAAATTAATGTCATGCTGTAACATTTATAGGTTTCTTTTTCTGAGACAGAGATGTTCTTTTTGTCACATTATTTTCACAAGAGAATTGGGTTTGTGTCCTCTGGGCTGAGGGCAAACCACATTAGAGTGTGACAGAGGGAAAGCTAGATGAGATTAAAGAAATTGCTCATAATCTTGCACAGTTCAGCTCAGGTTTTCAAAACCACAAGGCATACGCTATTCATGCAGTTTCCAATATGCAAGTGTTATTTATACACTGACAGAGAAGGGAAAAAAAAAAATCAGGCAGGCAGCCAGAGCCCTGTAGATTTTTTTATTTTTTTTTTTTTTCATCAAAGGGTGCTGCTGAGATGTCTCTTATTGGCTTGCTTTTTATCACAGAGAAGATATTCAGTGGCCAGGTTCCTGCCTCCTCATGATGCTTTTCAGACATCTAGGCACTTTTCAAGTCTCATGCAGACTTTGCTTGAGTACCTTTGCTCATGAAGTTAAGCAAACTTTGCAATCAAACATGACAGGGCATGTTGATTCACTGTTGCCTTAGAGTTTTCCTTAGTTCTGAGCTACCAACAGCCACAGTTAAGAGTCAGTTCTAGCAGCATCCTGACTACTGATATCATTGACCACAGGAAGATCCCTAGTGTTTAAATTTGTTAGTATTTTCTCAGACACACAGCCAGTGTTTTGATTAAAAAGTATATCCTATTTTTAACCTTTATTTTGCTGGTAAAATCACAAAATGAGCAAGTGATTTGAGTTTTCCACTCATTGCTAATTGTCTCACATTAAGCATTACACTTTGGCTGAACCACAATACCATGATCAATGATGGTGATATTCTGCCACATTGTGTCACAGGGCAGAGGAAGGGCTGTTGTACTGGAGCCTTTTTATACATGGTATATGCTAAGTGCACTCAGTTGTCTTTATTTAAGACTTCTTTGCCCCTCACCCTCCAATATTATATTGAATGCTATTGCTCATATGCTTAAAGGAGAGAGTAAGTATAAACCTGATCTTTTAAAAGTGACTCTTGTGTTTTATTTTAAATGGAAGTTGCTTTGTGGTTGCTGTATTTTTGCAGGTGTTTCTGAATTGTTAATGCTACCCCCAGTGTAAGGGAGCTGAATTTTTAGCACAAAAAAAAAAAAAAAAAAGAAGCCAAATTCTTTGGGACAGCACTGTTATATAGATACATAGTGGAAATTTGATCCTTATGATAAAATTGTCTCAGGCCTCTCATGGTTTCTTTTTTTCTACAGAGCCCCCAACTCCTATCGCCCCTCCTGAGCTGCTGGCTGTCGGAGCCACGTACCTGTGGATCAAACCCAACGCCAACTCCATCATTGGAGATGGGCCCATCATATTGAAAGAGGTGGAGTATCGGACAACCACTGGGAATTGGGCAGAAACACACATTGTAGACTCTCCTAATTACAAACTGTGGCATTTGGATCCTGATGTGGAGTATGAGATCAGAGTGCTGCTCACTCGCCCTGGAGAGGGAGGTACAGGGCCCCCTGGACCACCACTTACAACAAGAACAAAATGTGCAGGTAGGGTTTCTGCTGCTTTACAATACAGCACAGATACTTTGGTTCACTTACTAATATTAATGGTCCTCCACACATCCTTATTGCAGATGTGCTTCATCAGTGATCTGAATTGACATTATGAATTTTGATATGTCCTGGAATATTTTACTTTTTATTCCATGGCCAAGTGTTTAAGAAACTGCTGGTTTTATGCATGTAGTGTATTTGCCAAACTTTCTGCTACAGTGTGTGGCTGCTTTCCGTTGAAATGAGCAAGCAGATGAGAGCTTTCCAACCAATACTCCAGTAGGCAAATTGTTCTTAAGACTAGTGTATTATAAAATTTTCTCCCTGTAAGTGCATAAAAAAATATATGTTGTTCTTGGGTAATGGTTCAGCATTGGTTATTAACAAATTGACAGTGCTATCAATTTATGAGTACAGGGTGGTGAAGCAGAAAGCATTTAGTTTTTTAAATAAATTTTTGTATTCCATTTGATGGAATGGATTCTTTTCCTCACTTCTGACAAAGAAACCTGTTCAAACACTGCAGCATCTTCCCTTTGTCTTTCATATTGGAACAGATCAATTTTGCTCCAGGGACAGGAAAAGTCTATCTTCTTTCTAAGCCATATTGGCCTTACCAGGAAAAACTAAAGGATCATGTTCCCATGTTTCAGATATATTGGCTATTCATCCTGTTTTCATACATTAATCATTAGCCATTAAGGGAAATCAAGCTCTGTACCTTACAAGGGGATGAACAAAGCAGTTTTCTACATAGCAGGTTTTTTCCACCACACAACTGTCTTCTCAAGTTTTGCATTTCTGTTAATTTTTGCCAAGTCTTTACTGTGGTGTGAGCAAAGGACAGAGACTAAAAGGCTGCTCTCCTTTTTCTACAGCCTTCCTTCCCTCCCCCAAAATTAATAGTTTAAAGCAACTGGATATAAGTAGTGGAAAGCTTATACAAAAGCATTCTGGATCCAGTTACTCTTTCTGACCAAATAGCAAGTCTGAAGTATGAAGAATGCATCAAGAACAGCCAAATGCCATCCTAGGATGGGTTTAAGCAATGCAATGTTACTGTTCCTCACCCACTTGTCACAGCATGAGCACCCCCAGCAGCATCCTCTTCCTCTACCAAGAAAGGAAGCCTGGCAGGCTGAGTGTGTTGTGGGGTGGGGGTGGGGGGGCACATCCTTACTGCCTTTCCTTTATTATACTGGTTATAAAGCAGCGAACATTTAGTGTCTCTTTGAGAAGAATTGGTTAAAAAAAAATATGTCTGAGCATGAGGATCTGGCATGAAGGTATTTGCTATATCCAGCACCTTCTGTTGGTAGAAGACAGATGTTTGGAGGGTTTTCTGCGGCTAGGTGGAAAGCATGAAGTGACATAGATGACGTCCTGGCCTATCTGGGAAATTGGCAAATGCTGTGCTACTCATCTTTTGGCTGTTTCCTCCTTCACTAGTGCAGTCAAATTCTCTAACCCTCTGCAGAAATAAGTGCAGGCCTGGCCTGGGACTATGCATTTGCATATGGAAATATGACATGCTGAGATTTGGTCTGTAGTTCATGCATTGTGACTTTGCAGGCACGCTCTCTGCAGCAGCCAAACTTTTCTGTATTACCTGTAAAGAATGCTTGCTTTAGTTTAATTCACATTAAAAAAAAAAAAGAGGGGGATGTTGACTTTGTGCTTAATGATGTCTTCTACTGGATCCCAAATTGCTGAGTTTCCTTGCTCAGCATAGGTATCGACTGACATCATGAAGGATGACGTAGATAATTCGTTCAAATTGGCTAAGCTGAGCCACTCATTATTTTCCATCCTAATTTACTAATGAAAATCTAACTGGAGAAGGTCATTCTATTAATATTAGTTGTCATACAGAGTTTGTTGAGATTGATGATGATGACATTTATGTTTTGTTTAGGGCATTGGGTGGGAAAAAAATGTAATGATCTTGATGTAAGCATGGACTCGAAGGAAGGGAGAGACCCAATATCTAAAGATGTACAACTTCCAAAAAATGCCAACTGAAATGATAGACAAGAAAATGCAACTCATTATTCCAATTTCCATAAATTGTGGAATCCTTCAAAATACCCTATTTCGAGGATAATTACACAAAACTGCCATGGTAAAGATTTTTAAAAATGTGCTGAACCAAGAAAACAGCACTCTTTCCTTGATTTTTCTTAGAGTGCCTAACAAATGACATCGATGAAAATTGAGGCGGTTTTTAAATAGTTGAGGGGTGAGTGATACTGCTTTTTTCAAGTGAATTTTTTGCTTCTTTTCTTTGTCATTACTTAGCAAGAGAGAAGTACCAAACTCCTACACTTTTGTATGGAATCAGTAGATGGCTGGAGTAGTCCTGTTTTATTGGACTGTTTAGCATTGGTACTGTGGTACTCTGTTTATTAAGCCCACTAATAAAGATAACAAAATTGACTGCAGAAGTAATAGTAGAGAATATCACCTATACTGGAGAAGTAGTATTTACTTATTTAAATTGCAAAAAATCAGTGTAACCATAAACAGAAGGTGTCTGCAACCTTCCAACAGTGAGAAGTCAATGTCCCTTTTACTAAATAATCTTCTTAGTGCCTTTTCACATAGAAATTGTATACTTGTGTGCCAGGGAGTCTGAGTAACTGCTGGCATAGCCTTCAATTTAGGCACATCTTGCAATGAGATTCTTATTTTTATTTTCATCTCTAAATTAGAATTAGGATTTGGGAAGGACCGTGCTTTTCTTCCACTTCAAATCAAGCAACAGAAGCTCATTTACAAAGTTGCAGTTGTCTGCTGTGAGTTTCTTGACTGTTGGCCTTGCATCAGAGCAAAAGCATGACCAGAATGGCTCAGCATGAGCTTAGAAAGTCATTACATCATGATGCAACTCGTATCAAGATCATTCATGATCTTCAGATTTTTTGATCAGAGTGAATGGAAGTTGTTTATGTGGACTTTTTAAAGTTTTTAATTGTATAAAACCCATAAAAACTAATTGTGAAAGGTCTTGCTCTAAATGCACAAAGAAGTTTTATTAAACTGGGTAACATCTTATCTAAATTTCTATAAACAGTATGTGCCCAGGCATCTGTTATCCCAATGGCAATACTTTTGGTTTTTTACAGGACAACACTACAAGACTCTGTTTATATTTGATCTTTAGAAATGATACTGAAAATTAAGTCCCAGCTTGCCTCCTTCTGGGAAAAGCCAACTGCCAGAAAATATCACAAACCCTGTCTTTGTAAATGAATGATTTATTTTTGTTGTTGTTGATGTGGGTTTTGTGTTGGTTTGTTGTGTTTTGGGTTTTTTTCTTAGACTGTGATAGGTCGTGACTTGGGACAGGAGAAGATTAAATGACCTTGAGGCATAAACCAGTAAACTGTCAGAGGGAAGAGTTGCTCAGCAGAGAAGAGGGAAAAGAGAAAGACTGCTTAAGGCTAAGATCAGACACAGGGTTGAGGGGTGGTTAAAGGAAAGGAAGATATAAAATATTAGGTTTTACCTCCCAAATAATAGGTTGGGGGAGATAACAGGATAAGAATATATGTTTGAACACTGTTCCCAGTAGTGCCTAGTAGTTCAGCACTGGTCTTCTGAGTGTGGCGGGTTTTTGAGTTTTTGGTTTTTTTTTAGCAATCCTCAATAGTTAAACAGATCTCTTTAAAATCCTTGTTTCGTGGGCTTCACTCAAAAAAGTGTGCTTTGGAAAGCTGTAATTTGGGAAGCTTGGGGCTTGTTTTCTTCTCTGTGCTTATTTATATTCCCCTGCTTTTTTTCTTTCTCCAGTTGCCACAGAAAGGGAGAATAGGGGAAAAGTCGTTTTTCCCTCTGGTGGATGGGAAAGAGAAGGGAAGACCTTACAAATGAAGTTGTCTTGGGGGGGGGGAATCTCATCTGAAAAGTGTTTGCCTTCTAGTAGGATGAACTTGCATGAAAAGCAAGGCCAAAGGGTAACATTTAAATGAATTTGAATAAAGGGACAGATATAAGACTTTAAAAATAGTATTTAGACCTGGTTAAAGTACTACCTGGAAAAGCTATCTTGAACATGAGCTTCATTGCCTTTTTGGATGACTGCAGGTGACTCATGAGGCGGGTTTTGTGACCTTGAGGCTTGGAAGCAGGAAACTTTCCAGTCTGACAGCAGAATTGCTTGGTAAGGAATGGGAGGGGAGAAAAAGTCCTGAGAAACCCCATAATCTGCTCCCCCCTCTCTGAAGAAAGAAAAAAAGAAAAAAAAAAAAGGGGGTGACAATGATTCTTCATCGAACAAGCTTATGATAGTAAGAGGTTTGTCCTCATATGAAAAAATTCACAGGGATCACATGCAACCTATCTCTTAAGATAAGCTGCTAGAGACAGCGTTATTCAGCCAGGAGGATGTGATTTAGCTCCTGGAGAAAAGAGTCATTGTCAAGATCAATACTCAATTTTTGTTGTTGGCCTAGGGAAATAAAAGTTGGTCTTGAACGATGTGGCTGAATTCAATACTCCTTTTAAAAATAGTCAGGATAAAATAGCTGATATAAATGCAAATAATCTGTACATTCAGAATTTGATATGGTATTGCAAAGTAGTTGGAAAACCTTTTCCTTTAGTTATTATTAAAAGGTACTTCGTTGCCATGAAATCTTGCAAAGTTCAGAAATAGTAAGCAGCTTTTGCCATTTTTTTGTCGTTTTAAGACTACATTTTCATACTATAGAAATGTTTTTGTCTGTTGTTCTGTTAGAAATGTTAGAAAAAGGAGGTAGTTGTGTACTGTTACGAAATGTACAATCTGAACAACCAGAAGATTACTTTGCTGTGTGCTGTTAGTATGAGTTGTTACAATAGGTTCAAAAATATTTCTTTCTGATTTAATTTTAAGGCCATAGCTCCTGTTAAATAGAAAACATTCACATGATAATGTTGAAAAGTAAGATTCAGGGTTGCTATACTGCTGCCTTCATTTTTTTCAAGCTTACAAAAAAAACCCCACCAAACCT